CTTCAACTTCCCCTCGCATTTCTTTGCCATGATGATAAAGTGAAGTGAAGTGAGTATTTAAACAGCTGAATCTTGGAGTCTGTTCAGAGCGTGTTTTCGCTAGCAAGCGCACATTTTGTTTCTGACTTTGCTGCTATGCCTTTTGGCCATTTGAATAATTATTATGCCTGGTAGGTTGTCGAATCAACTTAGTTAGCCATAACTTAAAAGTGCTAGTCCAGCACTACGCTATTTTAGACTTGAATTGATTAGTGTAACAATGTTCAAGTTCCACCGCAAGTTGTCGGTGTTATTGTAGCACGAAGTATGTGCCTTTCTGTTCCTAACTGAAAATAATATAGGGTTATTTTCTGTGCTGATATTATTTCACGTCTGTGCGAGAAGTCGCAGGTTCACTAGTAGGATCTAGATTATTTTCTGTGGCTAAAGGCAGTTAGATCCTATAAACAATTTGAAAAGTGATACACTGTTGTAGTGATTCAACAAAAAAATATAGTTTCGAAATTAATGTCCCTTTTTGTTAAGGGGAAAAAAAAAAAAAAAAAACCCAGCCTATCTTTAAAATTTTGGATTGACAGACTTGCATGCTGGAAATAAAAAAATATTTCTTCTTGTACGGTGTTGCCATTTGCTGGCATAATCAGAAATTAATATTTTACAGAATATGAAATACACAATAAACAAAATTTGAAATTCAAAATTCGGCAAAAAGGACTATGTTATTCAAAAGTTGATGGCTCTAGGTAGTGTTGTTTTTTCGCAACACGTAAAACATGCATATATTCATGAAAATTCTTCATTATTTAATTCCTTTAAATATAATACAGGACAATAATATTTGGTAGCAACAATTTTATATTGTGCATTTTTTTAGCGTTTTGTACGTTACCTTTATTCGTCAAATAGTATCATGTTTTTGCATTTAAACCATAAAATTAAATTCAACAGCAACATTGCAAAATAATTTTAAAAGAGCACTATTTAGAATTTCTGAGACACAGTCTCGCATGCTGGGGATAAAAATGTTTTCTTTCATACAATGTTGCCATTGCTCGCTTTGAAATCGTTGAGTTTCTTAATCAAAAACTCATAAATGCTTTCTTTACAAAACATGAAATAGATTAATAAAACAAATTCCAAATTTGGGCTTCCAGATGCCCATATTCAGGTGGCAAAGAATGTTATTCAAAATTTGATGGCTCTAGGTACCGTAGTTTTATCACAATGCGAGAAACTTATGCAGATTCTTCATTATTTAATTTCTTTAAATATAATAGTGCGATAATATTTAGTGGCAACAATTTAACAAATAAAACAAACAAACAAACAAAAAAAAAAAAAAAAAAAAAAATTGCCCTTCTGAGCTAAGAAAACTGATAGCTTTCAAATTTTATATAACGCTTAAAGCAGCGATAACCTAGAAGGGCTACTAAGCTCAAAACAGCATTTTGCACCGAATCACTTCAATGCGATGTATCACTTTTCAAATTATTGCCACCAAATATTATCGCCCCGTTTAAAGAAACTAAATAATGAAGAATTTACATCAATGTATGTATGTTTCTCACATTATTAAAAAACAACAGTATTTAAAGTATAGGAATTTTGAATACGCATATTCTTCTACCTCAACATGGTAACCTGAAAGCTCGAATTTGTTTTACTGTCTACTTCATATTTTGTAAAACTTCAATGATTTTTGATGAAAAACCTCAACAATTTCAAAGCGAGCAGTGGCAACACTGTGAGGAATAGAACATTTTTATCTCCAGCACGCAAGACTGCCTATCGGAAATTCTCTAAACATATACTATTTTTCAATATTTTTGGCCCAAATGCTCTCGAAATGTGTATTTGTCTATGAGTGTGTGTGTTTGTGGGGGGGGGGGTCGAACACACCTTTTGGCATACTAGAATATCTGAAAGCCTTCAGATTGTATTTTATTTTCCCATTTAAACACACATTTCAAGAACATTTGAGCTAAAAGTATTTAAAAACAGCATTTCTTTAGATTTCCCAATAGACAGTTTTGTGCACTGGAGATAAAAAGGTTTGCCACTGCTCGCTTTAAAATCGTCGAGTTTTTTTAATGAAAAAGTTGTTAAAATATTAGAAAGAAGTAGGAAAAGAAGTACTGTCTTCTATTCATATTGCCAACAAAAAACAAACCAAACCAAAATCAAAGTAAACCATCAAAATGCTCATTCTACTAGCTAGTCTTTGGCATTTGACCATAGGTTAAACTACCAGTATTTAACGGTCTGGTAAGGCGAAAAATGTGATGCTGAGTTGTCATACAAAACTGAATTGAAGGGAGGTTTATCTGACAAAGTATTCAAGGAAATTATAATGAGATTTTTATTAGTTTCTGGTCTTGTTATGACTTTCTTATTCCATCAACAATCCAGAGCCCACCAGCGGCCGAGCGGTAAAATCGCTGAACACTGATAGTTTGGTCCAAGGTTCAAATCCCGCGAACGGGCTAGCTGCATGGGCGTTTTTGTCGTTTTCCCCATGTGTGTGTATACGAGTACACGAGCCAGTTTTCCTTAGAAAGTCCTCCACGAAGGCATCCCTCCCCTTAGGCAGATAGCCCCAGTGTGCTTTGCCGTATGCTCAATACACAACCACACAAACACTCCAGAATGGAAAATATGAATTTAAATCAAATATAAATCACATTGATATAAATAAGATCACATTGATAATTTTAAAAAAAACCAATGTACATAAAAATTTATCATGTTTAATTATGACTGAATAAGTGTCTTCCAAATTGATTGGATATGTGTAAAAATAAAGATTGGTTATCTGCCAGTATCTAGGTTCATCATCTTCTTGCCACTTTCAGCATGACTATGCCTCAAAACTATTTTGATATTGTTTTATAATCTATTTCATATTTTTTAAAACTTTTAACAAATTTTGGATTAAAAAACTCAAGAATTTAAAAGCTAGCAGTGGCAATACTGTACAAATAAAACACTTTTATTTTCAGCATGTGAGACTGTCTATCAAAAATTCTAAACATACGACAGCCCAAATGCTCGTGAAGCATGTATGTGTGTGTAAATGTGGGGGGAGGGGCATGTTCTTTTGGATATAATACAAAATCTGAAAACTTTGTTTTCTAATAACATTTTTCCCAAGAAAGCAACAGCTGTGAAGCCTTTGTATACCTTGAGAAATATGCTTCATGGAAATGAACTACTTGGGAAGGGGAACTGAAAAACCTTTTATTACATGTTCGCAGATCACCCCTATTTAGCTTCTACCACTACTTATAATACAGACATTTGGCAGACTCCTTTTGTAAAGCATCCACCTATTGTAAGTATCTACAAGCAAATCTAACTTTTAAAGATTTTCTTTACAAAACTGTTTAAGAGAATGAATACAATAATTTTATCTTCTATGTTTTTGGATGACATTATTAACTTATTTAACTAACAAGAAATGAAATTGATCAGTTTAAGTTTACTATTAATTCTGTAAAAAGAAATGAAAAAAAATTAATTACTTTCTTTTGGACATTGAGTAGTTTTAGTATACCAAATTTCATACATATATTTTATCTAGATAAGAGCCATGCTATGGCCATTCTTAATATATATGGTGATAATTTGCATTTAAGTATATATATATCAGGTAACAAAATTGTAGTAAGGAATTTCAATGTAATTATCTTCAAAAGATGGATGGCAATGCTTTGCTAAGTGAAACTTAATATAAGTATTTTCTTGACCTTACTATCAAAAGGAAAGTATTCTTAAAATGTGGCAAAAACCTGACAAAAAGTTTGCTTTTAATGAAAAGCTTTAATTCTGTTTTCCTTTTTGTCTCAACTATTAAATTCAGCAGTATTTTCACTGCATAGAGTTCACTTATTTCCGTGTATCAAATGATGTTTAAAACTGGTGCAGACTGCAATTTTATTAAAAAAGACGAGGAAGCATTTTTGTTGAAACATGAATACAATTGGAAATAAAGCAATTAAAAAAAAATCACAATTGCTTTTGCTTATTTGAAAACATACAGTGTTAAAAAAATAAGTAAGATTATACAGTGTTAAAAAAATAAGTAAGATTAGACTGCTAAGTAAATGTAAACGGAAATATCCAAATCTAATTACACTGGCACTGCAGCACTATCTTGGAAATTTTATGAAGTTTTAAAATTCTGCCAAATTTTAACATAACTTTTGCCATTGGTGATCAAAACTCCATATTTAATAGTTTTGGAGGTATTATCTAATATTAGCAACTATTTTTTTTTACTGCTATGTATTTCTATATAAGTAGATCCATATAAATACTTTTTTGAACAAATTAAGAGTTCAAGGTTGGAAGACCTTTATTAATTACTAGATAATTTAATCATCATCACTCAGTTTTATTTTGGATGCAAATAATAGAATACAGAAAAAAGCAGAGTTAAAAGATTTGCAATTCAAATGTAGCACTTTGCAGAATTAAAAGATGTTAGAAGGTCATATGGATGAGAATCTGTCATGTTCCTAAAGAAGAGGGACAGGGGGTCTGATCACCCATGAAATCTAATAGAGTGTTATTCAAAATTTATGCTAAAATAAAGTTGCTTTTCCCCCTAATTTTAAATCTTAGAAGGTATTAGAAATGTATTTTATTTATCATCCTTTGTGTATAAAAATACACCACTGAAAATGTAGTTATAACTATTTAAAAACAATAACATTCCTTTGAAAAGTAAAAAATGATTTGTCTTTTTTATTTACAAATAAAACATATATAAGTAATAGGCTCCAAGAAAATTTGGAAAAACTGATAATGCACAATATGGATACTCAAGCAGTTGTTGATAATGCCAATACTATGATTTCAAATTGCACTGGCAAAATCCAAGAAAAACACTAGTGTACTACCAAAAAATAATGAATTTGAACAGACTCAAAGGGGACAATGAAGGTCATGGAAGTGATGCACAGGCTTCTCCCTGTCTTTAAAACAATAACAGAGGCAAAGAAATGTTCTAAAAAGTTTTATTGATCATATTATGATAATGACATAAGCATTTATAGAAGAAATCTAAAGTTTTTTTTTAAATGATTATGTATAATGATGAGAAAAGCATTTAAATACAGCTTATTCACAAATTACCATAATTTTAATTCATCAAGAACTGCAATTAAGAATGAATTATGGCCGAGGCGTGCAATCTCTTGTCTGGCTCTGCAAAAATTAAAAAGTGCAATTATCAGACAGATAGAGTAATAATAGTAAATGCAAAATAATTTTACCTAAACCCAGAAAAGATTAATTTTGACACTGACAAAAATTCCCACAACTCAATATATGTTTTTAAAAGCACAATCAACAACCATAGAATGATTAGATGAATGAATCGTCATCAGTCAAAGATAAACTACATAAGCATTAATTAAATACTGTACTTATTTTGCAAACAGGCCACTCAGTTTTCAAGGTAGGTATCGTATGCTGTTTTCGAAAAAGACTGGTCTAGATTTCATATCAAAGTTAAACTATGGCTATTGGAATCATTATCTTTCTTCCAGAAGCTGCAGTATTGATTAATCTGTGTGATGTATCTTAAGCAGCATTCTCATGCAAAGATTGCAAAGTATCTGATGAATACCGTCATCAACTGGCAAATGTATAATCAGCAAGGGCTTATATTATGAACTGCGATGGAGATTCAGAATAGTTTTTTTACACCTTCCAAAAATTTGGTAAAATATTTTATTTATTCCTTTCTTAAAACCATATTGCTCATTTTCCTTTTTCTTTCAATTCCAAACTGAAGCCAAAAATGATATTTCCAGTAGGTAAAGGATATTCAGGTGAATGAATGAGAAATGCTGTGTTCATATCCAAAGCCATTGCATAGATATTTTATCACCCAAACCAAGATTAATTGAGCAAATACACAAATTAACTATAGCTGTATCCATTAACATTCAGCAAATGATTTAAATTGTAATTTTTTACATGAAGGAAAATAATACAAAAATAGTTTATAATTTTTGATTATTCTATTAAAATAACAAATAATTTAAAAAACTTTAATAGTAATGCATAATATAAATAATAATGCATTGTAAATATTAAAAAAAATGAAAAATAGTAATGTGGTCACATAAAAATATATAATTTTTCAAGTATTCTTTCAATAATCATATTTTTCTTGCTTTCAATAGAGGGGGAAAAAATCAGCAATTACTTTCAAAATCTACTTGATTATTTTATTCAATTTCCATAGGCAGAATAATCATATTCGATATTTTATGTACATTATTTTAGTATGAGCATATGTCACAACTGACAGATGATATGCAATCAGCCACATGAATGGCTTATTAAACTTTTATTATTTTACATTTCCTCAAATTTTATTCATCATTAGCAGCAATAACCGACAATGTTAAAAATATTCTTAACAGAACTTACAAATTTGGATATGATTGATATATGCAATGTCACGAAATTAATGGAATTTCTAAAGAACTAAGCTTATAAAACTCATACAGCATTTAATATTTATTTATTGAACTACTTAAATTTCTATTTACTAACTGTGCTATCTAAATCATCTAGATCCAATATATTATTTTGATTAGCAATTCAGAATCAAATCAGCCTAGCAATCTGCCAAGAAGAAGCAATGTAGTTGAATCAAAAGATTTTGGTTAGCAATTCAGAATTAAAAAAGTGTGGGGGGGGATATGGGGATGTGCTATTTTAATAGCTTTTCATAATAAAATTAATACCAAAAATTATTATAAAAGTAGAAAATAAGAATAAAAAATGTCTCAAAATACTATGCAAGTACACATGGGTGGTGTTACAAATTATTAAGTAATTAAAAAAAATAAATACTAATTTACATAGAAATTAATTAAAAAAAAAAAAAAAAAAAAAAAAAAAAAAAAAAAAAAAAAAGTATGAAATTTAACATGCAAAATGATGAAAGTTTGTCAGTTCATGATTGAATAATTGGAAGTACAGAACATTATCACTGACCACCTGAATGAAGTATTAAAAAAAAAAGGAAAGGGGGTAAGAAATTGCAATTCTAGGGTATAACTTCCAATCAAGCCTGATCATGTCTATATTCACTGTCTGACTGTACCAATGCTTCACAAGTGCATTTACATACAGTATGAGCATATGTCACAATTGACAGACTATGTACAATCAGCCTAAAAGAAGCAAGGTAGTTACATCAGAAGATAACTTGATTTTTGATTGCAGCAAGGTTCCTCTTCAATGATATTGGCAGGAATGGTTGAATCATAGCAGAAGATGGCAGCAATTAATCTAGGGAGATGAGAGAACATCAAAACAAGCCAACTGTCAGAGTGGTTCTCATTGCACCTGATTCATCATTATCAATGATTTGACATATAACCAGGATACCATTGATAGGCAACTCAGAGAATAACGTTCTGAGCTCACAATGCCTATTGTGGCAATTAGTCATCTCCTACACATACCAGCAAGTGCATTCTCAGTGATGTCCAACTCGTTCAACTGATCTTTCATTTCCCTTGCTATTTCTAGTTTACCAGTGGCTCAGTGGATAAGACCACTGAATATTGATTCAATACCTGGCAAACAAACTGGTTGCTTGAGTGTCTTTGAGATTTTTCTCATCTGTAAAGTAAATGAGCAGGAAATCTTTCCTTTGACTAAATAAGATATCCTTTCATATAGTGTTGTGTTCAATTACATAAACTGCATTCTAAAAATATTCTTGTTTCCAAATGTTCTTCATAGCAACTAAAGAATTAGTTTAATGCTTTTAGTTTTTCCTGTTAATGTTCATGCTCTCTAGTGATCGCACAGGTAAGAATAGCTTACAGTTGCTTGCTTGCCCAGTTCAGTTTAGTGCATTGCAAACAAGCTAGCTGCTGAGTCCCCCCCCATATGCAAGCTGAATACATGTCAGTTTGGCTTTAAAGGTCTTCCATGAAATGTCAATCTTAAGGGAAATAAACCTTGCATGCTATAATAGGTTATGTTTTGCTATAACAGGTTAACTAATAAACAATGTTCTTAGTGTTCATATAATGTTTATGATTTAAAGTAATTTTTCATTCTTAATTTCTGTTGAAAAATTCTGAATTTCTACATTGAGAAAAACTTTTTTGAGCTCTTTTCAAAATCTAACCATATAAAAATAAATTTGACATTTAAGTATCATATCAAAACATCAAAAATGACAATACAATTTTTACCTTTCACCTAGTTTGCATTAAATACAAGACAATGCTGCACTTTTAATATTTTACAACATTCTTTCCTAGGACGGGTTATAATAAAATATTAAAACCACAACATGTGCTTTTTAGAATTAAAATAGAAAACAACAATAGTATGAGCAGTAGTCAAAGAACAGAACTTCTTAGTGCATTCAATATCCTGTTTCTACATTTTATAAATTGCTACTATCAAATACTTTTCAAACATCTGCTCATATATTGCTACTGGTAATCATTTCTTACTTCCACTCTATTTATGGAAAATGCTCTAAAATAATCATATAAATAACCATTGCAAGAAAATACACTAAGAATGCAGCTAGCAGAGATGACAGAGCTTTTAAAAGGAGTGCCATAACTACAAAATAAAATTACAAGAGATGAGGGAAAAAGGACATCATACAACATTTATACAGATCTGCTTATGAAATGTCCAATATTCACGACAAATATGAATTTAAAATATTTAATCAATAAGGAACACAAATTTATTACTCACTGAGTATCTAAATCTTTTAGTACATTACGACTATATTCAAATGATCCCATTTTCTCCATTAAATCTACAGCATATTTCTTTATTTCAACATCAGTTGTTCTTTGCCTAATTATATCTTGCAAGCAAGTTAAGAATTTTATCAATATAAATGCAAATATTATATGATTAAAAAGTCTGCAGTATGCATATTGAAGATAGATGTTTCACATTTTATTTTCTGATTTTTGTTCTGTTTAAATTCTGATTTATAAATTGGTTAATCAATATTCAAAATGGATAATTTTGCTAATAAATTTCTTACAATTTTACATTATACAACAATATTTTAATATTTATAAAAATCCAAACTAAATTTTATGATTTATTGAAAATTACAGTACATTCTGATTATCTGCACCCATCTCTGAAACTTTTAACCCATTGAAGACTTTTCGAATCAGCAAAAACATTTACTTGCCTAACTTTACAGCTTACAGGTGTTGTTCCATTTATAAATAATAACCTAATAATGCATTTCATGAAAAGGGAGAAATTATGTGAGAAAAAGTAAAAAATCTATACGGTATAACTGATTTATCTATCAAAGTTTATATTTTCACAACTGGTGAACTTTGTTAAGCAAAATGATGATTAAATATAAAGTGTGTAAATCCACATATACACAAGCATGTATGCATTAACTGGCTATTATTGCACATATATTTTAAAATATGCCCCAAACACAGCAATTCTACAGCACACTGAAATCAGGTTTGAAGGTAATCAGAAAGTAAAAAAATTACTAACGAAAAAGAATATATTTTAACCAGCCGTAGGATATTTTTATTTTCTAATAAGCATAACATACAAAATAATGCAGGTGAGTATATGGTGCTCGTATACGAGAAATTTCTTAAGCATTAAAACTTATTTTGGAAATATATATATGTTTGCTTTTCTTGTCAACTGAGCTATATAATTTTTAGAAAAAGCTGACTGCTATTTCAAACTCCACCTCTTCGGGCAATAATGTTTTATAGGTATTAAGGTCTACCCCTTGTGATGCAAATTGCACCCTCGATGACAAGGTGGTTAAATGACGCAGTCTGGTTATTCCTGGCAATTGCTTGAAGAGCAAGCATTCAGCCATTAAATAAATATAAATTTAAAAAAAAAAGTTCAAGACCTGATCAAAGCATAAGAAGTCATAAGCTATTTTAGCTTTTAAGAAATTTTACAAATAAAAAGCACTGAAGATAAATATTTGATTTAAAGCATGCTGTTAAAAGGATACTCATTATCCTAGGATCATCTTGATTGCTACGAATGGAATGAATCACAGGGAATGAGAACTTTCCTTCGGTTAAATCTTCACAGTAACTTTTATTCTCTGTATACTGAAAAATAAAACAAGAGTGAAATATTTTTATTGTGCAAATACTAAATTTTATTCTTTAGTTCATAGTCATTAGGTTATTTTGAAGCAAGGGATGTGAAAAATGTGCAATGCCTTGGCTGGGACGGGATTCTTAAATATGCGTGGAGCATACTTCCGATTACATCACAAAGGCATGCAGAAAGGAGGGAGAAAATACCTTGCACGTTTATGGTCAAAACTCAATATTTCTTTGCAACAAAGTTGGCTATAGTTAGCACAGATATAAAAAGCTCACGAAAACAATGAGGAAATAATTATTTTATTATTAATGCATTCAACTAGAGGGGGGAAAAACATCTGATATTCAAAGAACATATGCTGTACAATTACGAATAAATAAACTATGCTAAGTTTACAGCAGTAAAAGAAGTATTAGCAGGGTATACCAAGGTTACTATACTATAAGGTTTGCTCTTCTTAACCAAGGTCAACCAGCATGAAGAGACTGATGTCTTGATATTCAAAGAACATATGCTGTACAATTACGAATAAATAAACTATGCTAAGTTTACAGCAGTAAAAAAAGTATTAGCAGGGTATACCAAGGTTATTATACTATAAGGTTTGCTCTTCTTAACCAAGGTCAACCAGCATGAAGAGACTGATGTCTTGCTTTAAAGCAAGGTTTCTCCCACTTCACTGAGAACAGCAACACCATTCAGCATATACATAAGGTATGTTATGGTCTTGAATGCTAGAAATAGAAAGGGTTAACATTGAAAGAGCATAACCTTGTTCATCAACTGATCCTGGGGTACACCAACTGCAGTTCTAAATAAAACCTAAGTAACCTGCAGAAAACAGCTCAGCAAATGTACAGCAAGCATGGCTTAATGTTATAACGTTTGTTTATGACTATAATGATAACAACCAAAGATGAGAAAAATATTCTATAAAATATCAATGGAATTCAATTAATTTAATATAAATGTAACTAGAAACATATAAATATATATTCTCACAGCATTTTAATTAGAAAAATGCTGTTAATAATTGATTGTATGTAACAGTTACCGAAAAACTGATTTATGAACTATTCTGAAAATTATTTAACCAGTGCTGTTTCACTAATCTTAAAACTCAGAGGGCATCCCTCATCTCGGCATCTGTAGGAAGTTCACTGATTTCACATTCTTCAAAAAGTTTTGCAGATATGTGCTTAAATTTGCTTCATAAAGTGACTGGCAATATTTTCTTCTATCATTAATGCTGTAACTTGAACTTTTTCATCAATATCCACCCCAAGTGGTCTTCCCAATTCTTCTCAATTTGTGTTAGTTGCAGGTGTTTTTAATTCTTGAACTTTCTCTATTAAATTATACTCTACCTGTATTATTATGCTTTGCTTGCTTTAAATAATATAATCATCTGCTTTGAATCATGTCTTCATGAAATTAAAATCTATAAACAAGAGCAAGATTAACTTTTCACTGAAATTTGAACTCAGGAATCCGTTTATGTTTAATATGGACCATACACTGATTTCTCATTGTAGTAAGTTTGCAATACAGTCATTGAAAAGTTCAGTCATGGTACATTACATAAAATTATTAGTTCAAGAGTAAAACATAATTGCAACTGTAGTCAAAAGTAAAACATAACTGTAACTGTGGTTCAAAAGTAAAACATAACTGTAATTGCAGTTCAACAGTAAAGTATAATAAACATACATTTAAATACAGACAGAATGACTATTTTAAATCAACTGCCAGAATGACATGAAATTACATACAGTTATGCAAAAGAAGAAAACAAGGTTATTAGAAAAGAAATTTTATTACAATAATTTTGCAAATCTATAAGCTAGAGATCAAATCAACTCTCAATGAAGTTTAGAACAGAATTTTTCCAACAAAATGAATTTGCCTTCTTAAATTCATATGTATTATGCTCTATCATTTTTACATCCAGAGCTACCCATACAGTGGGTAAAAAAACTCAACCACCAATTAAGTATTTAAAGGATATAAATTTATTACTTATGAATATAAACTCTAAAGTCATGGTACTTCCAAAGAATCAATTATAAGTCCCAATAGTTGAAGATAGACTGTAATATATTCTCCATATCTTTCAATTAAGTGGCTTAAAAAAATAAACTGGACTGGAATTTGAATGAAAAACACATCATTCCCCAAATTCAGACCTTAGTTTCTATGCTCTTGAGTGTAATTTGAACCCTACATATTTATGAAAACAAGTGAGCAACAACTTGCTATGTACCTAGCAAAGATAGACAGCTTCTGTTAAATCATCTGTTCTTAAAACATTTGCTTCTGACACAACTACAGTCAACAATGTTTCTTACTAGGATTACATAAAAAAAAAAAAAAAAAAAGAAGAAAAAATAGGGTGGCGGAGTAAGGGAGGGTAGACTTACATGTATGCTCTTGATATATCTGGAAAACTTTTCATCATCTCATGATATTTGAATGTGAAGAGATTAGCTCTTTTGTCTTTAGCTGTGAAAATTTTTGCTGTTTGATTCGGATACTTCACTTTTATATGTAATAATAATTATTCCTAGATTTGTAACATTTGTTTTTATAGTAAGCATATACAGAAGCTATTAAGAGATAATTAATCTATATTTCAATTAAAAATTTAATAACATAAGAATAAAGAAAATGTAAACATCCACAACATTTCAGGAGTTTCAACACCACAATGACAAAATTTCAATACAATGAAATAGCACTTGCATGATTTTTGTTTTGCAATCATGTTGTGTAGCATATATTTGCAAACACATCAAAGAATCTTGTATTATTTTATTCAAGACTGAAGAAATAAACTGATAGTTGCTGAGGAAATTATTTCAGAGCATAACTCATTTTTATTGTGCTCTTGAATTTCTTGCTTTGAAATATAACATACATCTATATTGTGTGTAGTTATTACACTGACTGAGTGAACAAATTACATTCAAAACAATTTTATATCTATTCATTCAGCTTCCCTTTTACATGCAGCAACAGGTTTCAAACAGTGTTACATCTTTTAATTCAAAAGAAACCACACCAACCTAAACACATTACCCATTAATACTACAGTCTTTATCATCTGGGATTAGCAGCACTTTTACAATGATTTTAAACTGGTAAACAATTTGAGAAATGATATGTAAAGTATTAAACATAAAGCTTTATTGTAAGTAATATAATATTAACCTTGGAATAAATTCCTTATATTTATTTTTGCGCACATCTCCAGAATGATGCTATATTTGTGCATCATTCATTCACATAAATTTTATTTTCAGTGTCCTGCTGCAGCAGAAGATTAAAATTTTTCTACCTCTAAACCTTAAACTGCATGCATCCTCTTATATCTGATCCTCTTATCAGCTTAAAAAATTACATTTATATTACTTAATCCAAATTTTTCAGAAAAGATTACAATTTCACCAATCTAAAAAATTAGAGAATACTAAATATTTCAAAAAATTTTAGGTAAGTCAAGAAATTAGTTTTTATCTGATTTCAAACATATGAATTAATTTTAAGAAATTAGAAATCTTTCCAGTCTCTAAGCCCTAACACGTCAAACTAAAAACAGATTAAAGTGAGCCTTTACAATTTATGACTTTATAATGAAGTTTTTAAAAATGCAGGAAATATACCTCTTTGGACTGAAGATTTGCATAGTCATCTCGAATTTGGAAATATAATCCCATAATTCCAATAATTTTTGTGAAATCACTAGGAAAAAAAAAAAAAAAATATTTAACTTAATTTGATTTATATACACAGGCAACTAAATTAAATTTATCTAAGTAGTTTTAATAATTTATATTTCATCATGCATCTTTTTATAAGGGAGATGATCAAAAACATTAAGAATCTGTCTTTGGAACTTCGAATGTGCACATATGGGAGGGGGCTTCCATTTGACTATATGCATAATTTATGACACATGTTAAAATATTTATTAAATATTATATACATTAACAAATAACTTATTAAAATTTTCTTTATCATTCATTGCCCACCTTCATGTCACAAACCACTCTTGTAAATCATTTTGTCTAAAAAAAAAAAATTTTTTTTTTTTTTTAAATTTTGCCCAATTTTACAAATATTTTTATCAGCAATCTCAGAGTCAGTTAATACTGAATACATTTCTGACATTTATTAACCCTCTAAGCGGCAAACCTATGCCCTAGAATATTTTTTGTGATATTTGTAAGAATGTATATATATGTGCATATTAAAATATTTCAAAGAAATTAAGGCAACATATCAAAAGTACACAAATCTAGGTATGAAATACCAGCAGAGTTTTTACATTACAATCAAAAAAATAATTTGTTCTCATAGTAGTTTTGGGAAATTTGTGCTTTCTTAGCGAAAACCCTGGCCGCTCAGAGGGTTAAAGCAAAATAAATGAATAAAAACATACTTTCTAATCAATAAAATTTGCTTTAACATTCTTAAAAGTGGATAATATTATAGAGACTCACATAGTGCTTTCAAAAAACAGTACTGAATGTTTTTTTTTTTTTTTTTGTCATTTTGAAAGACGAGAGCATTAACCATTTGAGTCCGACGAAGCACTATCCTGCTTCACTTGTCGTATGCCAAAAATACGCCACAGTGTGATAGCGCTTCTCTTGCTTTGTATCGAGAATGCGAAGACGCTGCTGTTGGTTAGTATACTTTACGCAATTATTGAGAGCAGTTGTAGTGATAACATCAGTAGCAGTTGTTTTATAGGAATTGGAAACTGTTTTCATTTTTTTACCAAATGTTATACTCATAATTATGAAACAACCCATGTCAAGTTCTGACGAGATTATTGATGAGTTTTTACCCGTGGATACAATTTTTTCAAACGAATCGAATACTTTTTCTGAAGTACCTGGACCAAAGCATGCCCCTCCTCCTGATGCAAAACCAATTGAATACTTCAATTCATTTTTCAATTCTCAATAATTTTTTTTCAAGTATACTAACCAACAGCAGAGTCTTCGCATTCTCAATATAAAACAAGAGAAGCGCTATCGCGCTGCACTGTATTTTTGGCATACGACAAGTGAAGCGCGATAGCGCTTCGCCGGACTCAAACGGTTAACTAGATTTCACCTAAAGATATACCAGATCACAGAATGGCATAAATTATGAATCTATAACATATTATTTTGCACTAAAAGTAATGAAATATCGAGTTTTAACAAAAGGTTCCCACCACTCTAAGTATCGTCTGTGCAAACAGTTCACATTGGCATGCTTAATCAAATTTCGTCAAACAATTTTTGGCATTTGAAAGAAAGACTTGCGTTAGAATGCTATGTAGTGAAACTTGTAAAAAAATACCATTATCATTAAGTCTGAAATGGAACTACCATGCTATAATATTAGAATCATTATTTACTTCCAGTTCTGTTGCAAAACATCAGCTACAGAATGTCACCAAATCATGTGTATAGCTTTAGGTACTAATGTTGTATCAAATGACACTGTGAAGGTTTGGTATTGAAAGCTTAAAAACAAGGACTACAACATTCAAGAAGCAGAGCGCTCTCATCGGCCTACTGATGTTGATAAGGCCTGCCTGCAAGAACATGCGGAAGAAGATCAGTATACCACCACTCGAGTACTATCACATTTGCATTTGTTTCATACGAACAACTGTTTCGGACAATTTTTCTGCCTGGTATGCACAATTTTTTCCTTCCTTTTGAAAATTTGCAAGTTGTTCGTTTCCAACCAATCAGCTATCAGCTTGTTTGCAATGGAGAACCAGTTTCCCCTTTGCATGTTAATCCCAAAGTGATCTGTGGTGATTGGCTGTTGTGACAAAGCAGAAAATTGTTCAATACAGTTGTTCTTCCAAAACAAACAGATGTGTGATAACAGCCTAAGGAGTTAGACATTAGTGCCATGTCCATAAGTTGCACTATACATCGCATAAACTTGATGTACAAGTTCAATCACTGGAGCTGATAAGGACTGACATGTCTTTTTTTAAAGAAATATTGTACATAATTTTTTTTTTAATATGTACAATATTTCTGTTTTATGTAAATTGGATAGGTGTTTTCCATGTACGATTTTTGATTTTGTTGTACAAGTTTTCTATTGTATGTATAATGGATAGGTGTTTTTCACGTGCATATATTGATTTCATTTTAATTTAGATGATTTGACGTTGTTTTAAATGCAATGTCAGGAATTAGACATTCAAATGTTCATTACGGCTATAGCTAGTTTAACCTCTTCTTTTAAAAGCAGCTCTACAATGGCACAAATGAAAATGTGCTGGACATAATTGTCACCACCAGGATGTTGTGACTAGTTTCAAAGCATCCTGTCTTTTCGAACTGTTATGCGAAGAACATCTAGCAAGCAGACGGAAAGTCAAGAGTTAAAATGCCGATAAAGACAATGTATATTTTTTATGTTTCATGTTCTGAAATAGATCTAATGACTCTACATATTGATTAAAACAAAATTAAATACAAATATTTATTGACTAAACATTTAGTTAAATCCTCATATAAAGTTCTATAAATGCAAATTAAGATAATTGAGATCAAATAAAATTTAATAAGAAAAATTATGCTGAAGATCACTAGGGCTGCAGAAACGAAATTTGCATAAAAAGTTTCATTAATTCAAAATGAAACTTAAACTAACTACTGTATATTTCTGAATATAAGCCAATCTATATATAAGGCGAGATGGTGTTTTTTCTTCAAACATTTACCCACAATTAAAAACTCGTACATCGGCCAAAATTACAAATTTTGTAACACTTAAACATATCACCAACAAAGCAGAAATATACACAATTTAAAAAATAAAACAATTCATTTTCATAAATAACTCACTTCTAATTTTTTTTTCATAAACTTAAGAGATAAAAAAAAGTGTAATATTTGGTGCCTTATCACTTGCATAAGGCTAACAGAGAAGTACCTACATTTTTTGTGAGATCAGCAGATCCATATGTAAGTGTACGCGTACTCCCATCATTTTAGCTTTAGAAAGAGTTCCGACAATTCTCGGTTTACACACAATAAATTTTATTTTATTGCTGGGATATCGGGCGAGCTGGCAGCTACAGCATTACATCAGGGATAGTCAACCTGGTCCGTACCGCTGATTTAAGCTTTCATGGTGCGTGATGGAGGTTTCTGCCCAATAATTATCAAGGAAGATTGAAACATGCATGGATGCATAGATATACCTGTATCCACACCCCTCAGATTAGTTCTCTATTTGACCATTCCCCTTTGCACAATAGTCTCCCTTTTCCATATATTGATAGGCTTCGTTGTTTGTTAGCCTTCTAGCTATTAAAAACCTTCTATCTATTCCTCTACCTATTAAAATTTTTCTGTCTATTAAAAATTTAATATTATAAATTATAGTATAAATAAATGCATACATTTAACTATATATTCTTTACTAAACCTCCACTTTAAAACTTCTTTGCAGTTGTGCTATATTAAGTTACTGTGAATAGGTGGGCGGTATAGGAATTTTACTGCGTACCAAGTGGGCGGCAAGTATAGAAATGTTGACTACTGCATTACATGGAAATATTAATAGCAATTGAACACAGGCAAGGAAAATAACCTTTAGAAATATACACAGGAACCATTAAACGTAAAATCATGTTATGATGTGGATTCTTGACATACATCATCATTGGTCCCCCCTTTTTTTTTCTATAGCCATATGCATCAAGTGACTGTGACACACTCCACAACAGCACAGTGTCTATTTGAAAATATTACGCATGAGCACAATATTATGTTTGATGGCAAGAAATATTACAGAGACTGTTATGTTTATGACAGATGGTGCACCAATTATACAGAAACCCACATGAAGCAGTTCTCCATAAAAGCATTTGCTCCAGAATGACTGATTACTCGCTCAAGGCCTGATGCATGACCTCTTCAACTACTACACTTGATTGCCCATAGATTTTCAATTATGAAGATACTTGAAATCTTAGGCATACACTAGTGGCCCTTCATCTGCAGCACAATTAAAAAATGTATTTCACCACAAAATCATTTCCGCAGACCCAGATAAGTCTAATGATTTGATGAATGGTATGCTCACTCTCTTATAAAATGTGATTTCCTGTGAAAGAGTCACTGGAAATCACTGTGGGGGATTGGATATATCGTATGAAGAACATGAAACATTAATGTCAATAGGAACTTGGAATAACTACAAAACACTTCAAATTATATGTCTGTTATAACATACAATGTTTTGATATATATCATTAGAGACACAAAATTAAAAGTGTATGCCATACAATTATGGCATATAAGCACATTTTCTTCCATTAAACGCCATCTAAAGTGTAGGATGACAGTGCAGTATTATTATCTTTTAGCACATTCTAAAATAAATATTTTTTGTTGCCATCTACTCAAAAAGATCTGCATCTTCATTAGAGCGAAATTTCAAAAAAGTGTAATGACTTTTGGTGCATCTATATATATTCAAAATAAAAAACTAAAAGTAAATTAAAAAGCCCTTGACATGCGCTAAAGCTGCAAAGTAATAAACTAATAATTTATAATAAGAAAATTTTCCATATACCATCTCCAAGGAACACAAATTCAATTTTTAAAACCATGAATGAAAAAATATTTTAGCCAGAATTTAAATTAGTATTTGAAATAGTAATTTCAACTCCTTGTTTAAAAATCTTCAAAGAAATATCTTAAATCGCAAAAATACCAAAACCAAAAGTAAATTATACATATTGAATGAGTAGTTATTGTCATTGATCGCAGATTAATCGCCTTATCAAGGGGATAAACCAATCTTCCATCAATTAACAACAACTAAATTAAGAGAGTGTTTCATCTTACTTCCAAGTAACCATCAAATTATTTGCTAGATTCTAACCATAAGTCAAAATTAATACTCAATCCAAATAAAGGCATTAGTCCAATTAAGCCAAAAAGCTTGTAAAACAAAATGCAGTGCAAAGTCCGAAATCCGGACGTCCATTATCCGGAATGATCTAAAATCTGGACTTCAAAACCACCACCAACGTAGGCTTTACGCATGGGCATTTGATCCCCCCCATGCATAATAAAACATCTTGAGAGTCCCAATTCTTAATTTCACTTCGACACTAAAAAAATATCTTGTTATTGAAGAAACAATTATTTTAGCATAAATTTGTATGATCAGTAGCAATTTGGCTCCATTGCTGCATATGTGCTTGGCATACATCTCAAACCCAAACATTCTACATAGATGCATCGTTGATCTGACGCCATCATCACCCCATGTTTATCAAAACATGACAAATTGAGTAATGACTCATGTAGAGACGCCTAAACCATTTTTTTTTTTATGTAAGAAATTGAATAATAAAGGCATACGGTAACCTTTTATGTTGACATTATGCCTAGCGATGATTACAAATTTAAGTTAAATGCTCTAAAAAATGTTGACGAGGAAAAATTTACCAAAACTTTCTTTCCATATGCTAAAAATAAATGTTGTTGATGATACTCATAGACCCAAAGATTACACTTAGGACCCACAGAGACTGCATTAGGCGGTAAGATATCTAGTGCTGGCTCTCATTGTCTCAGTGCACGATAGAAGCAAGATAAAATTTAACGGAACAACTTGTTAGTCGCCAAGCTCATGATACATAGCCAAATATGTATAGTGAAGAATAGCTAAATTTGATGATGATAGCCGCTAATTTTAAAGGTTTTCGGATATCACAAAACAAAGGTGAAATTTTCCAATTAACGGATTTTGTAAAGAAATGTGGAGAAGTGGTAATAAATGAAGATTATATAAAAGAAGTTTTTCATTGTGATGACAATGCTTCTCGATCCTCAATCAATTAATGAATAGCGAAATCTGTAGTATGGTTCTAGATCCAGAAATAACCGCTACCTATAGTTAAGAAAGTGACAGTACTGAAAACGAGAAAATTTCGACTGACAAGTTAGTCGGAGTTCTCGATATAGCATTATTTTGAGAACAATGTTTACAGGACTTCAACAATGTTACTGAACAAGAGATTATGTCTGTCTACAAAATTAAAGAGAAAGTATTAGCACAAAAAATGAAGCAACTTGCATTGAAAGAAATGTTTAATAAGGTAAACAAATAAATATTAAGCTTTTTTTGTAAATTTTGATACTCTTTAGATCATAAATACTTCATTATTTCATAAATCATGATTTCATATTTTTAATTTTATAATTTCTACATGCCATTTTACTAGATTTAAACTGATGATCTACTATCCAGAAAAATTCCAAATCTGGAATCACCGAAGTCCCAACGAGTCTGGATTTCGGACTTTGTACTGTAGCAAATAATCTTAAAATTAAAGTTTCTATTAAGAACACTATTAATCTGGACGAGATGCTTACTTTAGAAGACATATCCCCTACACTCTCATTACAATTCAAAAACAGAAGTAAATATATTTGAACATTAAAAGTTAATTCAAAATCATATGATAAAAAAATGATACAACCTGAAAATTAAAGTTTATAACATGTAGTTAATAACAAATTTAAAGATCAAATTATGTTATTAACAAACTCGCCTTCAAAATTTTAAGACCAAATGGCTGGAAATTTAAGTATTAAGAGATGGAAGTAAAAGGGTTGTCGTAAAGTGAAGTTTTCTATTTAAGAAAGTTTAGCCTTAATTGGTGAGAAAATTTGAATTCTTGGAGATAATACATAGAGTAGACTGTTATTATAGCACTAAAAGCTGCTATTAGTTAGAATATAAATTCAAAATAAAGTAATTAAAAGTAAATTACAAAGCCCATGACTTGCACTAAAGCTGCAAAGTAATATGTGTATATATGTAATCAAGCAAAAAGGATGTTAATATAGACCACAAGAAAATATAACATTAAATATTAAATTTACTTTACCTTTTATTATCACTGAACAGTTGCATTAGTTGCACACCAAGACCAAACAGTCCACCAGTCTCTGAAGAAGAACACTGAAATAGTAAATTATATAAAATATGGAAACAAAATAAAAATATTGATAATACTTACTTCGCTTTACCATTTCTTTATATTCTTGTTCTGTTGGGCACAAAAAATTGTCCCGCCAGTAAATTTCCATTCCTTGACCTCGGTGCAATTCAAGTAATTGCTCTAAAAGTAACACATCAAAATATATTACAAATCATCATTAGAAAGTAAAATTTGCAATAGAAAAGTTTAATTACTAACATTATAAAACAACACTCAATAAACACCAAAAGATAGCTTCAAATTCAAAAACATGTTTACATAAATGTAATTTAATAAAATAAAGGGCACAATGAAAAGCTAGATACAAATTATCTAAAATATATCTTATATCTACTACAAATTATCTAAAATTAAGCCGATTGATTGATATAATTTGGCTAAACTTTTAAAAAATAATAACCATATCAAATTAGATAATGCTGCTTAACTCCATGCAGACAATGCCACTATGTGAAAATTTTGTGATAGTAGTATGGAAATTTCAATCAAGATGTTTCAGAATTCAGAATCCAGACCAATAAGCTGTGAAAATTGCTATAGTTTCCAGTCCATCACATCACCTCAATGAGTAATAAAATAGGAATTAATCTTTGAATTTCATTGATAAGGAAATTACTGATGACATGGCTGAGATGTCATGGCTAATTGCACTACTATGGGTTTTTGACACATGAAAGTAGTACTTTATGTTAGGATAATGATATAATTACATAGTAGAATCAGCAGCAAACATCCTTTACAAAGGTGACATTTTAGCCAGCTAAATACTCAGATCTCTTATCAACCAAGAAATTTGAGGATATGATTATAACCATACGAAAGCTCTCCAAGCCCTCAAATGAAGATGAAGGAAATTTTATAACAAATACATGATCTAAAATATCCTAGGTCAGACTCTAAATGCTCATTATTCATTGAATGACTGCTTAATTCATGATTTTATTAGTCAAAATGATGGCTGTACATTTTGCAGATTTCTTGTGATCTGATCAATGGGCATGCATAAATGTTTGGAATTAAAATCATTTTCTAAAATGTATTTCTCTCTTTGCTCCCGAACTTTGTCTCATTTGAAGTATTTTTAAAATAGTTTTGTCTTTTCTAAATTAAGAATGCACCTTAGAATGCAAATCCATTTCTATCATTAAAGACAATATTTAAAATATTTTGCACATGAAAAAAGAGAGCATTTTAAAGAACAGTTAAAAACCCAAAAAAGTTCTTAATTTCCATTATAGTGAAACCTATACAAGATGACCCCTTATGGAATATGATTATCAACAAATTTCAATGTAAACGCTTACTTTTATCTACACAAGAAAGCAGAGTTCGCCCGGAAAAATAAGATTACAGGGGCAAGTCCATTTAACACCGAGAGAAATTTCTATCTCGCTGAAGGTTTTGGCAACAAAATTTTGTCACCAAATTTGGTGAGAAACTGCCAAATTGGTGACATTTCAGTCCAGTCCTCTATAACTGTAATTGATCCCTGTACTAAATAACTTTACCCATAACCAGCACTAGTATATAACTTTAACTGCATATACCTTCCAGTAATTTTGAGAAATGAAAGGTACCAGATATTTCTTGGGATACAAGGGAAAACTTATAAGACCAGAGAGAGCACCAGGGCTGAGTTTGGAGTATTGAGAGATCTCTATGAGAACTTCACTTTTTAGATGAGCTTTGTATTACACTGTGTTCCAACGTTCTTAATAAACTTATAAGACCAGAGAGAGCACCAGGGCTGGGTTCGGAGTATTGAGAGATCTCTATGAGAACTTCACTTTTTAGATGAGCTTTGTATTACACTGTGTTCCAACGTTCTTAATAGTTCGGAGTGTAGCTACAGATTGTACTCCGTGATACTGAGAAAAGATGTATGGGTATTTTTGTGAAAAGTTCCAGAACTGTAAAGTGTATTTCTTGATATAATAAATTTTATCAAGCTACCATTGGTTCTGCGTGCTTTCAATTAATTATAAACCTGGATGCATGCAACAATTTTTGGTGTCAGGAGTAGGTTTGAATGCTGGTGACTAGAGCAATGAATGAGCAACTAAGAGAGCAGGTGGCAGCCTTTACTACATTTAAAGGAGAGATAAAGTGGACCAAGAAAGAGATAACAGGTCAGGAGAAAATGAAAAGGGAAATTAGTGCCTTATAAGAAAACAAATTTGAGGCTGTGAAAGACACCATTTAAAAAAAAGTTGGAGAAATTGTAGAAAGAGTTCCTGCTGTCGAAAAACAAATCGACGACAGAGCTACTGCTGCTATTGCGAAGGAAGGTGGCAGCTTGAAGAATCCATAGTGACAGCTGCTCATAATTCTGATGCCTTTAAATTAATATATATGCCATTCTGACCCTTTCTAAAGCTATCCACATGCTCCTGAGAAGTGCACAAGACTCAGTTCTCTGTAATGGCAAACACAAATGGATGGGATTCTGAAGCTAAACCCTGCCAACTCACTGCTTCTTTGAGAGCAGACGCACAGATATCCTTCTAACTCTACTTGGAAACCAGAGGTTAGACTTTGAAGTTCTTTCCAGCATGTTGGAGCTATGCTTTGGCAAGAAGTGTTTAAAAGACTACAGCAGGCTTCAGTTCAAATTTTGGCAACAGGAGCCCATGGAAACACTCCAGGAGCTTGCCATGGATGTTGAAAGATTGTCTCATCTTGATCTTTTCGGATTGCCTGATAGAAACAAGGAAAATCCTGTCCCAGCAGTGTTTCATTGATGGCATCTGGGATGAGATACAAAAAGCCTTGTGAATTGTGGATGTCCCAGATCTAAAAAGTGCTTTAGCATATGCCATACAATTTGAGGCAGCACAGCAACTAACCTGTAGATATTGCCACCCAATCACAGCTGCTCATGTTGAGAGGCAGTGGACCAACCGACTGCTCATCTAGACAATTTAATGCCTTTACTCGAAACAGGAATGGCAACAACCAACCCTACAGTGCGGAGGTGAAGGACCCTACTGGAACTGCGGTGATGACGGCCATATACAAAGGAACTGCAGGACACCCTAAAGCATGGGAGCTGAGACAGCTTCCAGCAAAGAGGAGGGAAAACTAATTAGTGGCCACATGGCAGAGGGGAGGTTGCCAGATATTGAGAAGCCTCATTTTAAATCACTTCAGATTTCTGCAGTGAGTGGCAGTAGTAACAGATTCTTCATCATGCTACATACAAATGGAGTTCCTTGCAATATGACTATCATCTCGAGCAATTTCACTCAACAACGAAAAGGTAGACTCGTCTGGATGCTTCCCTGTGTTACTCTCCAGGCTTTGTCCAGTTATAAAATTGACACTGACAGAAAATTAAACCTTAACATCCCATTTGGAAGTGCAGCTTATCATCACATGTCATGTGTGGCAGATATTACAGATCCTTGCAGACTCAGATAAGACTTAACTTTCCAACAAAATATAACTTTTCCTTGAACTTTCAAAATAATTAATTGCATTCAGCCACTGAGAAAATAACTCTGCTTGGAATTAAAGATGCAGGAGTTAAATAAGCCCACCAAATCATAGCTCAAGATGCTATTCCAGTACCAGCAAGAATAGAATTTTTACTTTCTGGTTTCATAAACCCAAGAACTGAAACAGCCCAAAAGGAGTACTAGTAGCCATGATAGATGACATACTATCAAGGACCATCACTCTGGTTAGAACTGCCAATGTAAGTGATAAGGCAAAAGTCATTAGGAAAGGTGAAGTGGTTGCAGCATGTACTCCAGAGACCCCCGTACACTAACCAATAGGTTCTCCAAAATCTGTGTCTTTGGAGAGCCTAATATCAGAGTTATTCCATAATGCACAGTTAATAATGAAGAGAGGAGTACTGAAAAGCATGTCCTTCAAGAATTTCGAGATGTCTTCTCCCGCTAGGTTGAACCAGTTTGGCGCAGGCGCAGCACAGAATTGATAAAGGGGATCTTCCACCAATCAAGCGACATCCAAGATGTCACCGATTGTTAAACACGAAAGAGTAAGAAAACTTCTGAAAGACATCAAAGAGAGCAATGTTATTGAGCATTTAGCAAGACCTTGGAGTCTTCTACTCTCTTGGTCAAAAAGAAAGGTGCTTTAGCTAGATTCTGCATTGATTATTGGCGGCTGAACGAGGTCACGAAAGACAGCTACCCTCTTCCTAAAACTGATGATATTCTAGATACACTTTGTGGAAGCAAGTAGTTTTTTATGTTTGATTAAAAGAGTGATATTAGCAAGTACAACTCCACACTGACGGCCAAGAAAAGATGTACTCACTACCGTACAAGGTAATGCCATTTGAATTATGTAATGTGCCGGCAACATTCAAACACCTCAATGAGACCATGTTGAGAGGACCTTCCCATGAAGCCTGTCTGATGTACAAGGGTGACATAATCATTACCAGAAAAAGTTTTGAAGAACACTTGGAAAATATTAGGAAGGTGCTTTAGAAACTGAAGGAAGCCAACCTAAAATTAAGTCCTGTCAAGAAGTGACTTACTTCAGGCATGTCATCTCTGCCGAAGGTTTGTGTACAGATGTAGAAAAAGTGTCGGCAGTTAAAATTTGCAGAAGCCCCCAAAATGTCCATCAGCTAAGAAGTTTCCTGGGTGTTTTTCCTAAGCTCCTAGTACAGGAGATTTTTGAAGAACTTTTCTTCCTCTGCAAGACCCTTTCACAAACTGACAGAGAGTAAACAGAAGTTCTTGTGGAAAAAAGAATGTGAGGAGGCATTTAACAACCTGAAGGAGGCTTCAACATCTGCAACAATCCCGATGTATTTTCAGCTTGACAAACCAGTTATTCTTGGCACGGATGTGAACAATGAGAGTGTTGGTGATGGTTTGTCCCAAGAAATAAATGGTTTAAGAACATGCTGTGGCATATTAGAGCAAGTATCTAGCTAAATCCAAGAGCAATTATAGTGCCACCAGGAAAAGTTTGTTTACCATAGTTAAAGCCATAGAACATTTTCACCATTACCTCCATGGCAGATAATTCCTGCTTCACACTGATCATGCATCGTTAACCTGGCTCTTAAATTTCATTAATCTTGAAGGGTAAATAGACACAAGGATACAGAGACTCCAGGAATATGACATCAACTA